CAGTTGTGTTCACTACTCTTTGTGGCCCTACAGACCATGGCCCGCCTGGCTCCTCTGTCCATGGGATTCTCCAGGCAAGGATACTGGAATGGATTGTCATGACCTCTCCAGGGGATCTTCCCGACCCAAGGATGGAATTCAGGTCTCTTACATCCCCTGCATTGGCAGGTGGGTTCTTTACCACTATCGCCACCTGGGAAACCCACCTTGGTCTTTAGGTACCAGATTATCTTTTTTCTTTTTTTTTTTTTTGATCAATCTACTTTGACATTATTTTTAGAAAATCTACTTGATGATGTCAGTGTTTCCATTTCCAGTTGCGAAGTCTGATATTATGTTTAAAATGCTGTGTATTTCCACATATAACCCCTTTCAGAAATGAAAATATGTTCTTGAGAAAAATGTTGGCAGTGTACATTCATGTGGAATTCTTTCAATAGCAACCTAGCTGTTTCACTAATGTATTTAACAAATACTTAATAGCCGTGTGCATTTTTTATACAAAGACGGCTGATTCATAGCTCTTGTCCTTATAATCTGATGGAAGAGATCACACAGAGAGTTGTCACTTGATAATGAGATGAGTGCCAGGGCGGAGGGTGACTTTCTGTCCGGAGCGCAGGACAGAAGGAAGAGGGAAGATTCTGGGGCTTCCTGATTTAAAGGGACAAGAGACTGGAGCCTGCACGTCCCTCCCATGGCTTCCATTCCCCTGGGAGTAAATCCAGAGATCTCCCCTAGCACAAGCCCTCACCCTCTGACCAGCAAACTCATTGATTTTTTTTTTACTCTCTAACTGTAACTTAGCACTTCCTTCTGTCTTGTCTTGTATCCACAAACCACAGTGGGATCAGCATTTCCTGTGACTTTGTCATCAATAGAAACTAGAAATTTCCTATCACTTTACACTCAGATCACCACTAGATCTTGTCTAAGTGTGTTAACAGAGAAAATGAAAAGTGTCAGATGCTCAGTAGTGTTTGATTCTTTGTAGCCCCGTGGATGGTAGCCCACCAGCCTCTTCTGTCCCTGGGATTCTCCAGGCAAGAAATACTGGAATGGATAGCCATCCCCTTCTGCAAGGGACCCTCCCGACCCAGGGCTAGAACCCAGGTCTCCTGTATTCAGGGGATTCTCTACTGTCTGAGTCATCAGCTCAATAACATCGTTCCCTTGGTAACCTTTTGTAATTTTATTTACTTAAGACTGTATCCTAAGAAGGCTGTCTAGGCTCCAGTCTGATGCTGAATGGTTCCTAACACCAAGGAGTAGTCCCTCGGGTCCTACCTGTCTTCCTCCTCTTGCTCTCAGCCCTCCAGCCTCACTGGCTTCCCCTTGGAATCCACCCAGCACGCTCAGGCCTTAGGCCACCCCTACCGTAGTTGCAGAACTATGAACAGCCTGAATGGACCAGAATTTCCTGGAAACACACTGACCGCGGTACACCTGCTGTTATACCTGGTTCCTGACCGTTCCCAGTCGATAGAAATTGGCTGGAGACCAGACAAGAAGCCCAGGCAAAGCTTCCCTAGGGCCCCTGCTGCAGCAGTGGGAGCAAGAAGAGACACCAGGCATCCTTGCCTGCTCTCGAGGGAGTCCAAGGGTCAGGGCGGAGGGCTGGCCTGGTGTTCTGCACGCCTTCTGGTGGTGGTGTATGCAGGGGGCACGTGCAGTACCCTGTTTTTGTTCAAGGCTCTTTAAAAGTGACAACTGGGTTTTTCGGTCTCTCTGTCTTTTGGCCCTGGTAGTCTAGTGGCCAGGATTCGGTGCTTTCACTGCCGCAGCCCGGGTTCGGTTCCCGGTCAGGGAAGGTTTCTCTTGGGCTTCCCTCATAGCTCAGTAGGTAAAGAATCTACCTGCAATGCAGGAGACTCGGGTTCATTTCCTGGGTCAGGAAGATCCCTGGAGAAGGAAATGGCAACCCACTCCAGTATTCTGGCCTGGAGAATCCCATGGACAGAGGAGCCTGGCGGGCTACAGTCAGAATTGAGTCAGACACGACTTAGCGACTAAACCACACTACATCTTTTGTCCAGAATTTGCCCTAACTGTGCATGCATGCAGTTATTTTTAGTCCCATTAGTCCCACTGCATTTTGTTGCTCGAGGAGGGGTGTATCCAGGTGCAGTCCTTGAAGCAGTGGGTCCTAGGTCCCAGCCTGTCTCATAGGCAGTATCCACTGGCCTTCCTGCCCTCTCGTGACTCATTAAGAGGGCTCAGCATGACTTTTTGAACAGTAAAGTACAACTTGAAGAATGTGTTAATCTTAAAAGACAAGCTTGAAAAGTGCTAAAGGTTCAGGTTACTTCAGTCTGGTTCAGTCGCTCAGTTGTGTCTGACTTTTTGTCCCCACTGACTGCAGCAGGCCAGGCCTCCCCGTCCATCACCAACTCCTGGGGTTTACTGAAACTCATGTCCATTGAGTTGGTGATGCCATCCAGTCATCTTATCCTCTGTCGTCCCCTTCTCCTCCCACCTTAGCTGTATCTTTTTGCCTAACCCTGCTGCCTAGTTCACCCAGTAAAGATAAGCAGACATTGTTTGCATCAATTTCCCAATACAGACTACCAAAAGCCCCAGAAATTAATGCAGCTGGCAATATTCTTTTCAAAATCACTCACAATCAAACGAGACTCGTGAGAGAACTCATATCACATAAGTTAGGGTGCCTAAAGAGCATGTTTTATGAGGAGGGGAAAGGTGATAGGTTCATTGCTGGCAGAATGCAGTATCTTGACGCACAGTCTGAGATGTCTGAGTCTGACATTTAACAGCTGAGATGATAGTGGCCCAATACTTCTTGGGATCAAATCCATGCAGAGTTCCTGAAACTGTGAGAAACGGCTGAGATCCGTAACGACAAAGCTGATGAGAAGATTGATACCGTGGTGGTGGCCACAGGAGGAGTGTCCAGAATAGCTTGTGAAAGATTTATCCCCGTGACTGTGGAGCCAATTGACAATAGCCGAGTGCTAATTGAATCTCAGCCCCTGGGACAATACCATCAATTTCTTTTGGCTCTGTGCTGGCAATTTCGTCCCCTTAAGCAGAGGCCAAATTATTTTTCAATAATGGTTCTTTTTCGGCCTGAATGTTGTATGCCCCCATCCTTTTCTCTTTTTCCTCAATCTGCAGCTGCTTTGATTTGAAGTCAGAAAGGAGAGAAGGAAGTGGAGAAGGGATTGCCAACAAGAGAAAGGAGGAAAGTTTACAGGAAGAAGTGGGACTTGAAGAGGGGGCGGGGGGAAAGACCCTCTGCCCCATGTTCTAACCACTTTATATGGGAAAGGCTCACTTCCGTTCTTTTTCAGTTTGTGGCCAATTAAGATAATGTAATAACTACCATTTATTAAGAACCCATCCCAGGCTTGGTGTTTTAAGTGCTGAACATGAAATGACTTAGCAGTTTTTAGTTACTGTATGTCAGATCTCATGCTCAGGATGAAACCTCACTACCACTCTTTCAGGGTGTTAGGACTTGCCCCCTGTTTTTTATAAAGCAGCAGACAGAAAGTTAAAGTCTTGACTCAAATATGTTGTCTTGTTTTAATGAGTGATAATTTTCATACAACAGTTTCATGTGAAAACAGTTATAGTTTGCTAAGAAATACAGTTAACACAATTTAAGGGGAAATGTTCAGAAACTAACCCTTGTATTAAAATTAACCCTTAGCTCTAGTTATGCAAGTGAAAGGCATGGAGTCTCACTCCTCAAACAAGTGAAGTGCCAGGTGACTTGGTTTAGAAGGAAGTGAAAATGGACTGGAAGGATTAAGCATGCCACACTCAGAAGCTCGATCACCTTCGGTCCTCATTCTGGCTGATACTAGGATGGAGAGAGCTGTTCTTGGGGGCAGGGATCAAAGCCTGGGGATGCAGCGCGGAAATGAGGTCAGTCTCCACAACAGTTCCATTATCGGAAACACCTATGGCTGATTGCTAAGAGCCGACCTGCAGGGGCTTCTGAGGCCAAGTCAAGAAACGCAGAACTATGCATCATGCAGAGGGGCGTATTCTACTGAAGTTAGGGGAAGTGATGGGTCAGAAAGAACTATTTCAATCAATCCCAACAAATAAAATGTGGGAGAAAAAAAATAAACTGCAGTAGTAGAATCATTAGTGATATAAGTAGCTGAATATTTCTTTAAAGATCTTGTTGGCAAAGAATGACCTATTTTGTCAGTTAACATAGATGACATTTTGTGGTGTAAAGAACTGTAATGAGTAAAACTCAAATAGGGTGGGGAGTAAATAAAGTTCTAGATGAATCCCAAGAGATGAACCTACCTTCTAATCATGTGAACCATTGAGTCTGGGAGACATACCCATAGGATGTAGCTGTGGCTCTGAGACCCTCTGAGACCGTTTGCAACATTAACAGAATGACAGTTTCTGGAATCTATTAAAGTGCAGATGAGCCACAGTTAATATAACAATAACTGCAGGAATGAAGTTCTCATCCCCTTTTGTCTTGTCCAGAACCTGACTGATAACAGTAACAGCATCCAGTGTGACACTGCATGCTAGGACAATAAACACAAGTATCTTCACAGCTTCCATGACAGTTGAGACTGTGCAAAGATCATACTCAAAAGAACTGAAAGGTCCCATTGGGCCCAGGGCATCTATGTCTCTGTATCATTGGACATCATGAGAACACCCCCTATACTATCTACCTTAAAAAGACTAAACTCAAGTGTTGGCAAAATCAAGTTTAGGCTTACAGATAGTCTCAGAGAGAGTTCCTTCTTTCTGGTTTCTCAAACAGAATACCCTGGCCTGGATCTTAACAACAGCCTCATGCCCATCTTCCCACTGGTTCTTGGTGATGGGTTTGGAAAATTTCAATTCAGTTGCTCAGTCATGTCTGACTCTTTGCAACCCCTTTGGAAGACTTGCCGTGGGCCCAACATAGATGTCATCAGAATTCATCCTGTGGAGTCACTGCATCAGCCAGCCTTTTTTCCTCTTCCTCATCAGATGCATTTAACAGCAAGTAGATATTTAAACCAGAGGGAAGGGACAGCGAAAACAAATATATAATTAGACATGTTTCCTGGCTGAGGGTTTTCTCTTGGGTGACTCGCCCTAATTGTGTCAGCAGCTTCCCCAGCAGAGAACTGGTTGAATTTGATCCACGGACTTGAAGCTCGAGGCAAGGAATTGTCTCTACAAGAACGATGATAACTCCAGTCAAGAGGAGGTGGTTTTCTTTTCATTTTGCCTGCCTGTTTCTCAGTGAATATGGCAGAGTTTTTCAGTAAGAGCAAAGAAATCCTGGCGATGGAGAATTAGGAGCTGGATGACTGTAGTTAATTGGCATATTACTGTATTCCCATAAATTCTGCCTGGGACTGCCGTAAGTAGATTTAAGGTTACTGGGAAGAAATAAAATATACAGCCTTTTACAATGAAGTTGTTTTAAGCTTGACACTTTTTTATTTTAGTGACTTTGGAGCTGGGTAAGTATTAACCTGACAGTTTTTTATGTTAAAGAATGCTAAAGTGATGGGCACGGTAAGATTTTTCTGGTGGATTCCGTTAACTACCATTGAAGCTAGGGGGCAGAGTATATTTGAAGTTGTATAAAAATGGAAATGAAAGTTTGACATAAATTTACTTTCTGCCACCTCTACCTTCTTACATGCTCAAACAAAAATTACTGGTGATGAAAACCCAATGTTATACTTAATTAGAAATGCTAATTGCAGATTTTAAAGAACTAACAAAGCTAAAAATAAACAGCCTTCTCATTGTATAAATGGTGAGAACAGTTAAATTGAGATGGTCTTTGGAGTGCAGTCTATGTTGAATTTTAAGTGATGATTGAGGGATCTAAGTGAATTCCTAGGCAGCTCACGAATGTGGTTTTATTTAGCCATGGCTTTGGTCTCTACGCCCTTCAGTGGGGAAAAAGGACACCAGAATGAGGTCAGAAGGGTCACTAACTGGAGGCCTTTGGCAAGCTGCCGAAGATCTCTGCATATTAGTTTGTCCAACTTTGAAGGGAGGAAGATTGTATGTAACTGACAAGGTGGATGAGAGTATTAGCAGGGTCAGGACACGGAGGAGGCCAGCAGAATGCCGAGAACATGCAATTTAAGGAGACAACTCTCAGGTGCCAGCTCTACCAGTGTATGATTCTGAGGGTGAGGGCATCCTTAAACTTGGCTCCCAAGATGCCTGCATCACCTCCCCCTAGTCCCAGCACTGTTTAAGACTTAGTCACAATTCCTGGATCATACGGAGGCTCCAAAAATGTTTCTCCCCTTTTGATTCTGTCTGCCTCATGGTGTCTTTGGAGAAGTATGTAAGAGGAAGTACGTGAATGTGCTTGTGACGTGCAATATAAACATTAGCTGTGCTAAATGCCAATTGCAGTTGCTATGTTGCTGTTCTCATTAGCAAAGATGTGTGTTGGGTATGTATATATATATACACAATGGGTATTATAGTTGGTGAAGATTTTAAATGATCTAATGTGTATTAATTAGGATGCTAAAGATAGTCCTTTAAACTCGAATTGAAATGGTTTCTGAGTACAAATTAGGAGGGTACTCAGGAGGGTGGTATCCTCTCGCCTTGTTTAATCTGACCATCAGCCCAGCAACATGATACAGTCGCTTTATACCAGAAAATGGATGAGGTTGGAAAACTCCATCCTGATAGATGGAGTGGGGAATTTGGGCAGTTGCAGCGTCACTTAGGGAATACGGGTGAGCAGACGATTGACAGGACTGGCATTCTTACCATCCAAAAGCACTGATTCATTTGGGTGAGAGCCATAATAAGAATCAATCATCTGTGGTGATCTCGGGGCTGGCCTTAGGCACCCTTTGAAGGATTTTTAAGGAACTGCCTAATGTCATATGAATTAAAAGCTAAAATGTATTCAGAGCAAAGATTATTATTATTATTATTATTTTTTGCTGAGGGAAGTATATTGCCAAGAGTTTCATCACATGAGCCACTGCAAATAATTTGGGTCGAGTTTGAGCCTAATATAATTTTCAAAAGTATGTCTGCAAAGAAAAGCTGAATTTTTAGTGTCATCTAGGTCTTAAAATTTTTGCATTTTATTCTGAAGTTGCACTTAAGTTCAGTCAAAGGGCTGGTTTGGATACACTTGGTCATGGTTGTCTTCTGTGTGTGGTGTTTGTATGATGAATCTCAGAACACACCGGAGAAGGGGAAATTTTGATGAGTCACTAATAACTGGCTTCTTGGGACTGTTCATTTATGTATACAAGCAAACTTAGAGATTGCTGCTATGGTTTAAAATCAACTGGAGAGTGAAAAGCTGCCTGTGTGTGTATATTACACTGTGGAGAAGGTTTACTTCATTCTCTCCCCATAGAGAGCTAGTTTCCGTAACTGGAATGATAGTAGCTAACAGGTGTTGAGCACTACTGTTGTTCCAGGTCCTATTCCAGTTCCTTAGGTCCTGATATTTTGCAGATCAAGAAGCTAAGGGGCACAACTAAGAAACATGCTTCAGCAAGTACATGTCACTTGTATATACTCTGAAACCAGCAGCCTTGGCTTCATTCATCCTGACACAGTAACTCTGAAATCCTCTGTATGGATGCACATGCATGTCTTCCTTTGAAGAACAGTGAAGAGATTCTGCCCTGAATAAAAGGCATTTGTATGGAAGTCTGTCTTGTCTTTGAGTTTTCAAGGTGAGAGCAGCAAAGGTAGACAACCAGACTTGCCAGTCTCTCAGATTAGATGCTTCTGCCTGGGAGAGATTTTTAGACCAGGTCCCTCAAACCCAAGCCTTTCCTGGGGCCAAGGCAGGCCACGTGAGTGAGGGAAGCAGGCAAAACAATATCTCCAATGAATTTCAGGCATCTCTTTGCTGCAGTGCCAGGAACTCACTGCCATGAAGGATTAGCCAAGAGGGCCTTATTGTCTCATTTTCCTGAAGAAAGCAGACACTGAGTTTTTAAAAAGTTCAATTTTAACTATTAAACAAATTTTAAAACTTTTTAGAAGTATAGTGAAAAGCAACTCACACATATCTTTGGGCCAGATCTGGCTCATGGGTGGCCATGTCTTGATATCCTCTGTTCTGGATGAATGATGGGCCACCTACAAAAGGAGTTTGCTTCTTATTCTTTAAGAAGGAAAGACTTCCTATGGGAAACCATAGGGCAAGAGGGATTGTCTAGTAGAAGGGCTTATTTATTGTCCAGTGTCTACTTATTATTTTGCATGCTTTCTGCTCAAAGATGGGTTCTTTGCACCATACAATATGGAAGAGCTCGCGAGCTGCATATGGCTGTTTAAATTAAAATGAATTAAACTGAAAATTTAATCATTTTCACCAACCATATTTTAAGTGCTCGATAAATACGTGTATCTAGCAGCTACCATACTGGACAGAACAGAATAAAATGTTTCCATCATTGCAGTAAGTTCTCTCAAACTGTCTATCTCTGGATTCTTAGATTCTGGTAGCCCAGGCCATGTTGTAACTAAGTGACATAAGAGGGTGTTTGTGTGATTTGAGTAAAACTGAATGGCCTGCTTTCTCAGAAAACTCTTTCCTGATCCCTTTGCCTCTGTGCTTGGAATCTCCGCCATAGGATCTCTGGCTTGAATGGCAGTACAGTTATTTTTCCTAGAAAGGAGTACTGGTCAGTTCCATCAAGTCACTGCAGTAATTCTTGAGGATACTTTAAAAACCCAAGTATCTGTGCTCTAATTCATGTCCCCTTGACCACTGACTGCTTCTAGGGAGTTGGGCCAGGGCATGTCTGGTCATGAGGATTTCTCTCAGTGATCCTAATGGACGTCCCTGGTTAAGCATCCCTCTATGAGTGCAAACCCAGTTCCCTAGATCACTCCAGCCTCGGGAATACTTAAAGGCCTGGGTCATAATCAAATGGTATCTTGGCTAAAGCCTGCCTTCATGTTGTTAGACTTCAGCATCACTAAATTCCTTGGTGGCCACTTATGTGGTTACCTTAGTAGAGCAGATTCTAAGAAGTTAAGGAAATCTTGGAATATAGATCTGTCTCAGTAGGAGGAGAGCACTTTCCAAGACTGACAGTTCTTTCATCCATACTCTTTGGAGACTTAACATGCTCTACGCTGAGATCACGGGTACTAGATTGGAAATAGCTGTTAGAGGGGCAAAATTGGAAATGGGTCCATCTTTGACCATGGACCACACTTTAGACTTCCCAGTCCCTCCCAGGGAGTTGCAGAACCTGTTTGATCACCCAGCATGCCAGAATGCGGGACTACATTAACATGGATTGAGTATTGGATGCTCTTTCTGGCACTCTGAACAGAGGGAAGGAGACATGGATTGAAATAAAGAGACTCTGGATAAGGACACATTAGGTGGACACACTGCAGGGAGTGACAGGGACCAGGCAGCAGTGGGTAGGAGGAACCTAGGAAGGAAAGGTGGTCATTGGCTCCTATAAGCATCTTTGTGGCTGAATCTCAGTGGCCTGGCCAGTGGCTCCAGGGAAGGTCATGCGAAGGCCACATTGATGACCAACAGCTGCTCTGAAGTCACATCAATTTCCTTAAAAGGCTACTCAAAGAAGCCCCACCAACCTATTCTATCAGTAGTTTTCACTTAACCTAGTGTCTCTTAAACTTTGCACCCTGGAGAAACTTCCAAATGCTCAGGCTGTCATATACTAACTAAGTTAGTATTTAGGGATGGGAGCAAGGCATCAGTGTTTTTAAAGATCCTGTTCATTTCAGTTCAGTTACTCAGTCATGTCCAACTCTTTGCAACCCCATGGACTATAGCATGCCAGGCTTCCCTGTCCATCACCAGCTCCTGGAGCTTGCTCAAACTCATGTCCATCGAGTCGGTGATACCATCCAACCATCTCATCCTGTGCCATCCCCTTCGCCTCCTGCCGTCAATCTTTCCCAACATCAGGGTCTTTTCCAGTGAGTCAGTTCTTCACATCAGGTGGCCAAAGTATTGGAGCTTCAGCTTCAGCATCAGTCCTCCCAATGAATATTCAGGACTGATTTCCTTTAGGATGGAGTGGTTTGATCTCCTGGCAGTCCAAGGGACTCTCAAGAGTCTTCTCTAACACCA